CGTGGTGCCTGATGCAGGCAGGGGGCAGGGGCCGGGTGGACCTAGTGCAGTGAGGCTGACCCTGCTCACCCGAGCAGCCCTGAAGACTGCCTCATCCACCACATCCCTCATGCCCATCTGCTGCTGGCAGTGGCACCCAGGGGTCTCAAACGGGGCCCAGAAGCTTTCTGTGCAGGCTACAGAAAGCCCTGAAGAGGTGGCCCTTGGAACTCTGCCCAGAAATCACTGCCTTTGGACACTCTCTCTGCTTGGGTGGGAGGTGGCAGCATTCAGGGAGCCACCATTAAATTGTAAACATGTGCTTTGTCCATCAACACCAGAGACATGGCCAGCCACTGAGGGAGCAGAGAGTGTCTCTGCTTTCTGCCCTAGCCCACCCCTATCGCACTCCCTCCCTCTCCATTGTCCCAATTGCTCAGCTGGCTTGTCAGGAGCCTTGGCTACTCCTGGTGTTAGGTCACAACTCTGGACAAAGGAGACCCAGACCCACGTCAGGGCTGTGTTCAAACTTGAATGTACATAAAAGTCACGTGGGCATCCTGCAAAAATGTGGATTTCCTCGTCAGGCAGTCTGGGGCAGGGTCTGAGACTGCATTTCCAGCAAGCTCCTAATTGCTAAGGATGTTAAGATGTAGTGAGACTTAGTGGACTGCCGTAGACCAAGTGTTCTGAAATTCATCCCAGAGGTTTTGAAAATGAGTCACACTCCCAGTCTTCAGCTGAAATGGTCCCCAGGCACAGTGCCCCGTGTGGACATGTTGTAGAGCTCTCCAGGTAGTTCCTCTGTGCAGAGGCCTGGAGACTCACCCCCAGACATCCTCTCACGTAAGCACCACCTGGCTGTAGCTCAGGTGTTGGGAGGCATGGCCCAGTCTCCCGTCGTTTCTGGGCTGGACCCACAGGTCCCTGAGAAGCCATCAGGCTGCAGCCACTGAGGAGGTGGGCACTCAGCCTGGAGCAGGGGCCCAACCACTGGTCTATGCTGGAGCCAAATCTATCAGAATTGGAACAAACTCTAACAAAGTCGGTGCCATGAAAAGCAATTGTATCCCCTTCAACAGGACATGGAGGTGACAGCAGTGGAACTGGAACATATTTTAAATGCTGTGTTGCAAAACAGTAAGTGCTCATACCCACCGGCCACTGGGGAACCCCGGGTGCCCATGGTGGGGACTTATGACATGACCATGGCACGTGATCCTGCCTCTTCTCCAGCTGCCCAGGCCCCCCGCTCCTCAGAGCCACAGACCTGCTCTCCAGGGCTGACTTGAGGAAGGCTTTAAAAATGACTTTCATTGCTTATTTTCTGATTACAAAAATGATGCTGCTTTATGGTAGAAAACTCTAGAAAATACAGAAAAACATAAAGACAAAAATCACCAGTAATCTCACCACCCTCCTAAAACCACTGTTAACATGTGTGTGTATATATGTGCACATATAATTGATATTAATTATAGATATAATTTTATTTCTTAACACAACTGCTTTGAGATATAATTCACCAGCCATACATCCACTTGAAGTATACAATGTTTTTTAGTATGTTCATGGAGTTGTGCAATCACCACCACAACTAATTTTAGAACATTTCATGACTTTAAAAAGGAACTCTGGGGGGCGGAGCCAACATGGCGGCGTGGGTAGGACAGTGGGAATCTCCTCCCAAAAACATATATATTTTTGAAAATACAACAAATACAACTAATCCTAAAAGAGAGACCAGAAGACACAGGACAACAGCCTGACTACATCGACACGTGCGAGAGCCCAGTGCCTGGTGAAAGGGGTAAGATACAAGCCCGGCAGGAGGGACCCCAGCACACCTCCCCCCAGCTCCCGGAGGGAGGGAGAGGGAGCCCAGGACTGCTAAACACCCAGCCCCACCCACCCGCACCAGAGCGCAGACACAGTGCATGCATGGAGGGCTGGAAACTAGGCAAATAGGGCAGCAAAACCTCTGAGCGGGTGCCGAAGCTGATGCCCCTGTGACAAAGAAAAGACAGTGCTCTTTGAAAGTCTTAAAGGGACATGGATTTAACAGCTAGACGGAAACAACACAGGTCACAGCCCAGTGGCTGGAAATTACAGGGAAAACTGGGCACACTAACCC